TTGACCAAGGGCACCCCCGACGTCTCCAGGCTTCTCTAGTTTCTCATGTTCCTTCTGCCAAAACAAATCAATTAAGCGAACCTGGAACATTGAACACTAGATTGTGTATCCATAAGAGAGCTGTCAATCAACAAGAATGTGACCCAGTTCCCAGCATGCACTACGGGGTGACATGGGTGCCTCTGTTAGCTTAGCACAAAAACCTAGCTTGCATTCTAAATCAACCTCTATTGAATTAATGTAAGTCTGTAAACTTCAAGCTACTGTGGACGAGGAGGGAAGGGAACGAAAATGGATTTATCTGTTGTGTATTGGAGCTAAGTGATAAGCATAGCGTCCAGCCTTACGCTACATCAGGTTGTTGTTTTTAGCCTGTTGTAGCATTAGCGGAGGTGTGCTAGCATCACGAGTGCCAGATTCCTGCCAGTTTTAGATGTTTCACTGCTCAAACACAGCAGTTTTGATTCAAACGAGTCATTAGCAGCTTCTGCATAACCCAATAAAGGTTGCAGAGATAATTCTGGAGTTTGGTTACACAATTTAAAGGAATTTGTGAAAAATTGCAAACTTTCACCAGTTTGCGACTACTTAAACACCTACTTAGTTTTGTTTTCTCTATTTCAAACACTGTTAGCATTTGACAAGATTAATAAACAAATCTGAATAACTATCTCACTTTTAAGAAACATGAATCTGATTTTATCAACTGTCACAGAAAAAGCTCTCAGTTTTCTCCTTGAAAGTCTCCAGTCAGCTGTTAGCAGTTGAAAAGTTTATCTTTTTCCTGAATTTCACAACCAACACCTCGCCAACTTCTATCTCTTTAAATCACTTCATGGAAAAGTGTCAGATACACAGTTTTATTCTTGTGGTTTTTCAGGTGTTTCCTTAACATTTTCTTCAGTAGTAAAAGAAAACTTGACTGTTGACTTTTTCTATCTTCCTTTTACAACCCCTCACCCACCCCCACCCCCCTCACCCCCACTCCCCCAATGCCACCCCTCATTTTTCTCTTCCTCCAGAGGATTGCTTAGACGAGCACTCTAGGAGGGTGATGGAGCTTTGATTGTCAGTTATCAAAAGCTATCATTATCGCTCGCCTTTCTGGGATATGAAAATGATTTCCTAAGTGTGAAACCCATGTCATTACCTCAGTGTGGTCCTTCGCCGTCACTGAGATGTAATAGAAAGAGGCAAACAAATGTTGCCTCATCTCACGGCTCAACCAGAACAGAGCGTGCAGCAATCGACATAAGTGAAGCAAACGCCGGGCCTCAACTGCTTGGATCGAAACACTTACCATGAAAACATTTCTCCAAAGATACAATTTGGTGTTGTCTTTGAAAGCAGCTGACATTCTCGGACGAGGGATCTGACCATTCCTGTGCCATCGAAAGTCAAGTAATCTTTTGTTGTCTGCCTTCAGATAACAAGCACTCCCTGCTCCACCCCCTTGCACCGTTTCATCCTGATGAGACGGCAGCCTGGATCAGTAGCCACATTGACTTGTTTGAGGAGGGGGGTGTTAGTCATTGGGGAAGCAGAATTTTCCTTCTCTCGTCTTGGGTGTGTTTCCTGAGCCGGGAGATGGAAGTCTATGCCAGCATCGGGCTTTTCTGCTTCCAATCGATGTGGATCTGATAAAGATCCTGGCTCTCTGGATGACTCGCACGCTGCGAGGCCCGAGGAGGATCTGATAAGTAATTCCCTCTTCTGTATGTATAGCTGGAAAGATGCTGAGAAACCAATCGGGTGCTGCTGTGCACACATGAAAACACTTTTGCCCCTGCAAGACTGTAAACACACATTGTCCCCCTCACACACACACACACACACACACACACACACACACACACACACACACACACACACACACACACACACACACACACACACACACACACACACACACACACACACACACACGCACACACACACACACACACACACACACACACACACACACACACACACACACACACACACACACACACACACACACACACACTTGTCTGGCAGTAAAGTGGCTATGCTCCAGACATGCCCAATTTGTTTCCTTTCATCCAGGACTAATGTCTTGCTCTACCCAGGGGCTAAGTGCCCCATTTGAAGCCCCCCTCTCTACAACATGCGGTTATTTGTTGTTTCGTGGAATCATGTTCTCACTTCTACGGCCATAAGCAGCTCCTCATTCAAATAAACAAATTAAAATTAAAAACAGCAGTAATACGCTGATAAATTCTAAAAACATTATTTAAATGTCACAGTGTAATGATGAAAACAGTCCTAATGGTTCTATGTAAATGTCAAATTCAAATTATTCTATTACGTCTGCAAGAGTGGGCCAGGTGACCATTTGTCCACCACTTGGAATACCAATCTGGACTCTCGCTGGAACCGAATCTGTGTGCGCCCCTGCATAAGATAGACCTTGGTAATTTCCTGCTCCAAGGGATGCTTTCACAGCCTTTATTATAACTCTGATCCTCTAGAAATATCTGCCATACTGGAGAGACATTACAGTCATATTTTTAGTACTTTCACCCCAACGTCTCCTTTAGTGTACGATAGCCTGAGAAAATTGGGAAGAAGGAAAAAAGCATCCGTGTGTGTTTCTACGATAGCCCTGTTATTCGCTGTTGTGATTTCTGCATTGGATTTTTATATTCAGCCTCTCATTGCTCAGTTAATAAAAGTAAACTAGCAGTCACAGTAGTCCGGGGTAATAGGCTCACTCCATCAGTTGTCATTCATGAGGTTACGAGCCCATTTGAAATGAGCTGCATCTCCTCCTTTTACGGGGATTTTAAAAGGATATGAGCCCTTTAGAGTGACACATCCATTTCAGATTACGGGCAGAATGTGTTTTTCATCCTTTTTTAGAATTAACCATGACCAGGCTCTGAAACAGGCCAGGATCCTTGTTGTTCATGCAAACAGATGATGTCATTCTGTCATGGGTTGCTTGGGCGCACACTGCAGATCTTCACATCTTTACTGCCTCCCTCAGACAGCTGGCATTTGCACTACAGGGAGCCACGAGGGCAACTAACAATTAGCCTTTTCTCCACAAAACTCCAGACTATGGAATAATCACGAGAGCTGCTTGTTGAATGGTCAACATTATTTTAAGTGCTCACTCGGCTTCTGCATCCAGGACGAAGCAAATTCTCTTTTCACCGAAGAGAAATCAAATTCCTCTGCTTGGTTTAAAAGCTCATAGTTATTTAAACAAGTTTTTTTTTTTTTTTGCACAAAAGCTTTTCTATTCCGGTACTTTTCCCATTCGGTCAGAATTTGGGGCTCCGTTGACGATACCTGTGATGTTCCGCCATGATGGAAATGTGACAATCTCCATGAACGCTCCAGAAATGGGCCACCCTCTCAGCCGTTCATGCACATCTGCTTGAGATTCACACTTTGGTGCGTTTGTCACTTTGAGAGCATCTGGTTTAATTTAATTTCTGTGCTTGGCCACCCTTCAATTCTCTGTGCCTTTAGTGGAACCGTTGCCTACTGAGTGCGGCCAACAGATAGTTCCACAAATATAGGGGTTTAAACTTCTATTTTCTGGATGGCTCTTCTCAACATTGCAAAAAATTTGGGGAAAAAAAAAGGACATGTTTTTTTATGCCAGTGCTCTGATAAAAGCTCTTCACTTTATCATGAATCCATTTGTTAATACATTAATGAGCGACTGCTGTTGTAATAAAGCTGGCTCCTTTCTTATGTGCTACCCTGTAGCGCAGTTCTAACGTTCAGCTCTTTTTCCGATCTGTCTCCAACAGCCCCTCTTCGTCTAATGCTATTCCATCTGTGCAATGAAATCACAAGAGATATCGTATGTTCTCCTTATGAAATCTACAAGTGTTCAGTCTTTAATTCAGTAAGGAGCTATTTTACCTTCTCCTCTTACTTACGGTTGAAAGGCTTGATTTGACATGTTTTTTTCCCTACTTGGTATCGACTATAGGTGCTCTCAGAAATGGAAGCCTTTTGTGGAATCGCATTAAGCCGCTGCCAACAGTGTTGTCTGCAGATTATTGCTTGTTTTTCATGCCTTCCACACAGTCTGTAGAAAAGAACAGCGTACTGGAGATCGAGACCACTTTACTCCCCCCAAACACACCTCCAGAATGTTAAACATGGCTGACGCGGCTACCTTCGGATTGTTAGACCATGTCTCCTGGGAAACGGGGAAATTGAACTCTGGCTCTTCTTAATAGGTGGTAAAGTGTTAAGTTCCAGAGAAATGGACTGCAGATTTAACCTGGAATGGAAATTGATCCCATTACCTTGTGCTTGGCCAGCTTCCCTCCTGTAGGAAGGAAGAGAAGGAGAGATGTTGGGGAAGGGGGGTAGAAGGGGTACAATGCAGAGTTCAGAAGAAATAGCAGGAAACAGAAAAAGGTGAGGGAATGGAGATGGGCAGGGTGAAGTAGCCGAGTGGAAAGAAAAGGATGGAGAGACAGGTGACGGAAGGAGGAGGAACTGAGGAGAAAAGTCCAAAAGGAAAGGCAAGGAGACACAAAGTATATATGTAATTAGAGGTGATGGGTGGCCGTGGGGGGGAGAGGTGTCTCCTGCCTGGATTGACAGGCTGGCTGACTCTGTATCAGTGTGGTGCTAATAGCTGACCGCCACTGGGGCCAGATGGAAAAGAGAATGGAAAAGGCAGAAGAAGCAGAGGAATGGCTACCTTTCCTTCTGGGGGGGTTTCCACCAACAGACCTGTGGTTTGGAGCTTTAGTAAGTCCAAGTTGGCTGCGCTGATGATATTTGGTGATGCTCAGTGTCAGGCGGTGGCTTTGAAAGGGTTTTGTGACAAATATTTGAGCTAAATACCCAAAACGCACATCTCAGTTTTTGTTAAAAGTGGTGAATTTTGTTTCAAAATTTGTCAAAACATTTGATCTGCAGTTTCTTATTTGGACCAAAATGTGCCTGATTTCACTGATGGTATCTTTTGATGTTTGGTCATACCTCGTTCTTCTCTCTAGAGCCCATGCACGGCCCTCGGCGGTTACAAGTGGTGGATATCCAGTCCAAACAGGTGACCATACGCTGGGAACCGCTGGGCTACAACGTGACCCGCTGCCACAGTTACAACCTGACCGTCCAGTACCGCTCCAGAGTGTCCGGTAAGGAGGAGACCCGGGAGGAGGTGTGCTACGATGCACAGAGCCGCGACCCTCAGCACACGATCCTCAACCTGACACCCTTCACAAACCTCAGTGTCAAGCTGGTGCTGCACAACCCAGAAGGGGTAAAGGAGAGCACCGAGCTGGAAGTCCAGACTGATGAGGATGGTGAGTCAAACCGAACTGACAGAGCTTGAAAAATCTCCAATCCAGTAACTATTGTACTGACGTCCTGTGATTTTGGGCGGCTCAGTTTGGTCACCATGGATACCTATCAAATAGTGTCAAAACAGTGCCAGAATCAATGCAAATGAAAAGACAGCTGCAATATTTCACAAATATCAGTTTTTCATTTGATTTGTCCCTCTGAAAATAAAAACTTGGACAAATGTAACAAATTAACAACAAAATCAACATTACATGAAGCCACTCAAACATAACCAAAGCACATTTTGAGGAAAGCAAACAAACTTTTTTATAATTAGATTTTAGGGGTTTGTCATTTTGAGTCATATTGCACAAGCTTTTGTAAAGTGCCATTCGTTTTGGAATGTTTCTTGGTTTGTCCCTTCCAGGCTACTGTATGGTCACGATATAGCATTACCCTTGTTTATTATGTAGTTAGAGGCTCTGGATAGTCATATTTTTTGTTAGTAAATACAATCATAAATACTCAACATATGTTCTCACAGTTACACGCAGGTTTGTTGAATTATTTTGTGTCATTATACTAAGTGATGACCAATATTATTGGTCTACCATTAATATTGGCTGTTGTTGACATAAAAATTTAATATCTGAAATTATTGGTATCATAATCAGTCTTTTAATGACCCAACTATTTCGTACCATTCACATATTATACGTCAAAGCTACTTTTCCTATCTCTTAAAATGTCAAAATATGACAGGTCTGATGTCATCCTGTTGATATATTATTTGGCGCAACTTGTGAAGTAAAAATTTGCCATTTAATGAACGTACACTGTGTAGCTAGCTAACTAACAAACGACTCAAACAAAAACAAGAATCTTCACCCTAGACTTTATTTTCTTATCTGAAGGTCTTTAAATGTTTTATAAGTACATTACTAACTAATAAACGCATCTTAGCGTCACGCTTAGGGAGAAAGAGCTGCTGTTGAAGACAAAATAAATATGTCACTGTTCTGTTACTAACTTAAATTGAAGTTGGTATTTTGCACAGAAAATGTTTAAAATGTAACCATGATAGGAGATAAAAAAGTTTTATGAGAGGAGACTGAAATTATCTGTGTCGATTTATATCAGGATCAGATATTAAGAGTCACACGATATCGGTATATTAGATATCAGTAAAAAAGCCGATATCAAGCATCCCTAATTATTTCTTCTTATGTTATGAATATTAAGCCCATGAGTTTATTTTAATTTGCAAAAAAATCCACATTTTCCAGGAGAATTCCATGAGTGGTTTTGTCTGTACATTTCTTTACATGAAACTTGCACGGCTTTGTATTCTGTTCTGCCACGGAGGGTAAATAATTCCGAAACGATAAGCAGCCATCAAAAAGTTTGGGATTTTCAATTCATTTTTTATATTTTTTATCTCCAAAACCTGGAGGTATGCGTGCTGTATGGCTGTTGCACCTCCAGAGATGAAAGATCTTGCATGTTGCCTCAGCAGGCACAGGAAATGTACTCCACAGAAGTCTCGGGGAACCCTGGCCGCCAGAAAACAAACAAGCTCCACTGACGAAAAGAGTCACGTCTGGCTTGTATCTCTGGTTGGGAACTTAAAAGAAGCAACTGTCTCCTGCTATCTGACTGCCTTGGATGTCTGCACGTGGATCCACAGATCTGTGTGTGTTCACGGTCTCGTGGGGAAAGGTGTACAGACAGAGTGAAGTGGTTGTTCTTTACGATAAATCCTCACATCAATCTGTTCCACTACCAGAATCAACACATTCACATGAGGCGACTGGGACAGATCTCACAGAAACGCGGACAAAGGTTTATAAATAGACTTACAAGTGAACCTTTGTTTTATATCATATTTTTACTTGTAGGCATGTGAAGGGTTCACTATTGCTGTAAAACTCGATCCTTCTTCCGTGCACATTCAGAGTGGTACTCACCAGGACATCAAACAGCTCTGTGACTACTTGCGACACTCAATACAAGCAAACATATTAGAAGATTGAAGGCATATTTGATGCTAATTACAGAAGATACCTTGGTTTGATTGATCTGAATGCTTTCAGTTTTGTCTGGGGAACCGTCGTTTGATTTTCAGTCAATTTTAAAACTTTAGCCACATCTGTGTGTTAAAACTGTTTTGTGTCATTTAAAAAACGTTTCAGCCACCTTGTTTAAATGTCTCTGCTTCCCACAGTACCCGGAGCTGTTCCTCTGGAGTCAATCCAGGGGAGTCCCTATGAGGAGAAGATCCTCCTAAAGTGGAGAGAACCAGCTCAGACCTTTGGGATCATCACTCAGTATGAGGTACTGATGTAGAGTGTTAAAGGAGTGATTTACCAGTTGAATCAATACATTAGTGGTCTCTAGTAGGAATGAATGCCTTGGAAGTCATTCTCCTTGGGGGTGGGGAAGGGGGCGGGGGGGAGGGTTTGGGAGGGTACACTACCGGTGCACCATTTCTCAGACCTAAAAGTTGCACACATCACATTTGAGCTTCAGATGGCAGGCTTTCTCTTATTTCCTGAGATTTTGACATCTCACCTCAGACTGGATAACAGTAACGCAACTCTACCACTGATTTGCAACGTTGATGTTTTATCTCAACAAATAACACAAGCCTGGAGGAGTTCTGCTGTGTGGTGGAGTTGCTAATGCTAACGGTTAGCTTAAATTAGCTGATTCCTGGATGTTAAAACAGACTTCCCTGTTGTGAGTCAAGATCAATGAATGCTAATTTAATGTGGTGTAGATGTGTCAGGCTTTTCAAATCCTAGAGTTTTACCGTCTATTTTCTATCAGAAGCTAATGCAGGAGATATGTGTAAGAGACCATTTTCATGTTCCATCTGCATGAAAAGCTCTGAGTGACAGATTATAATTAGAAGTAATCATTAAATACTTTTTTTTCTGTGTTCCACCTCTTAAGTCACTCTATAAAGTACCTGCCTTCACCTATGATATCACTTGCATGCACTTTATTATTCTGAACTCACCTCTACATTTATATTATATAAATAGTCTAAATGAGAGAATATGACAGAATGTACCACACCTGTTTAAATCAAACAATTTAAGAATCTATGTGTTTACTGGAGACCCAAATTAAGTGTTGGTATAATAATTTTGCTAAAGACTTCCCCTCATTTATTTTCTGTGCTAATAAATGACTTTAATATGTTTCTAATTAAGTTTCATTTCCACATTCCATCATGGGCTACTGACTTAATTGTGCCCTTAATGAACATGATTATAAGGTTAGCAAACTTAGTAGACTGTGAGATCCGGCGTATAATTTATGACTTTGCTTATAATGTTAGTGTTTGTTAATATCCTCATTTGTTTGGTCAATTTTATTAGATCAAGGGGAAAACAAGGACAGAAAGCAGTTCAAAATCAAGTGGAATAAGAGTTGAATGAAAATTTGGACAAGCTGTAGGATTTGATGTAAAAAGTCGTTATTTCTTATTTAGGACTTTCTGTTGTTATGGTGATTTAATGTACAACATTTCTAAAGACTGAAAAAAGAAATTGGAAAATCTCCTTTTAAGGTTTATTATAGACCATTGATCCCTTTTCTTTGGTCAGAATCAAAATTTTCTTTTCTTGGTCTGAAATTTGCATGAATGCCATTGGTTGATCTTTGTAATGTGTTTCTTTTTGGGGTGGTTGTAGCAGAATGCTAAATGTTAACATCAGTCTAATTTTAACTCTCTGAATATTTAAGATTTAATTACTCTAGAATTTAGAGGCAGATAAACATTCATCCATCCATCCATGCATTCATCCATTTTCATCTGCTTATCCGGAGTCGGGCCGTGGGGGCAGTAGCCTAAGTCCAGAGGCCCAGACAACCCTCTCTCCAGCCGCTTGGGCCAGCTCTTCTGGGGAAATCCCAAGGCATCCCCTGGTCAGGTGAGGGACATAGTCCCTCCAACGTGTCCTGGGTCTCCCTTCAGGCTTCCTCCCAGTTGGACGTGCCCGGAAAACCTCACCGGGGGATTTCCAGGAGGCATCCTAACCAAATGCCCGAGCCAACTCAACTGGCTCCTCTCGATGTGGAGGAGCAGCGAATCTACTCCATGCCCCTCTCCAATGACCGAGCTTCTCACCCTATCTCTAAGGGAGAGCCCAGCCACTCTGCGGCGAAAACTCATTTCGGCCTCTTGTATCTGTGAACTCGTTCTTTCTGTCACTACCCAAAGCTCATGACCATAGGTGAGGGTAGGAACGTAGATCGACCGGTAAATTGAGAGCTTCGCCTTCTGACTCGGCTCTATCTTCACCACGACACACCAGTACAACGGCCGCATCACTGCAGATACAGCACCAATCTGCCTATCGATCTCGTGCTCCAGTTTTCCCTCACTCGTGAACTCCTCCACTTGGGGCAGGACCTCATCCCTGACCCGGAGAAGGCATTCTACCCTTTTCCGAATAAATATCTTTACCCACAAAATAATTTCACTCAATCAGTGCCAGCATCCAAATATGAGGCCCTTACATGTTTTTTAAACAACTAATTAACGTCAGAAGGCCAATGCACGCTCTGTTTTTACAGTATAAAAACTGTCATGGCCAAGTTCATCCAAACTCAAATCTCAAGAAGAGGCGGATGCAGGGGAAAATCTATAAATAGTTGTGTTCTCATGCAATAGAGACTAAATAGTAACAACAAATACTATCCCTATAATACACTTTAAATCAGAAATCCAGTTTTTTTCTCATAGGGCACCATCTAGGGGCAGATTAGATTGACTGCACCTTAAACCCCACCCCCTACTTCCGTGATTACAGCTGGAAGTAACGCCTCTCGTTGGTTAACCAAATTATAATTTTCGTAAATATAACATAAAATATATACATTCATTTTTATTCAAATGTGAGTCTACAATAGGCATGTTGATAAAAATCTGAACCTAAAAATGTTAAAAAGCGTTGTTCAAAATCAACGGCTGACTGCAGAGACAAAAGGAATGACGTTGCACTTTCCTGCCTTAAACACAAGGCCAGATTATAATATGGGCAAACTGAGCACAGGCCCAGGGGCCCACAGCCACAAGGGGGCCCATGCGAGCAGCAGTCTTGTTTTTTCTTTTCTTTTTATGTAGCAGTGTTAATGTATGAGAAAAATGTTGACAAGTAATTCAACTTGTGCCCGCATTTTCTAAGTTAACACACATTTCTTTTAACAACTGTAGTTTTTGCATCTTTACTGCCTGCTTCAGCCCTCTCCCCCCTCCCCCTGCGCAGCGGCCGCAAACTCACTGATGCGCCTGCAGCCTCTCAGAGTTCCTGCTGATCCAAACATTGAAAGAATCATTTCATTTTCTGTTCCTTACTTCTGGTTGCCTTTAGTAGTGTCTGTTTGTTGCAACCACCAGGTACAAAAACGAACTTGTTTTTATTTGACTATTTTTCTGTCCTGTCTGTTTATTATCTTCCTGCATCTGTCATGCTGAGCAGGAGGTTCGGACCCAAAAACGCAGAACACACGATACAGGAGCAGATGTAAATAAGTAAATTCTGATCTAGTGGTCCAAAAACAAAACTTTGTTTTGGGGGGGCCCTAAGCACATTGTGCACAGGGGCCCCTGTAATGATAATCCAGCCCTGCTTAAACACACGTAACTTACAGGCCGTCGTTGAAATAAAGTTCCTGAAACCTGCTGAACCTCATCCAGAAGCTGTTCTGCTCCCGTCTGAGTACAGTATATTGAACGTACACACCGACCTTAACAGCTTAAGGTGGAAGTAATCCACCAGCGTCTCCCCGCAGATTGATTCTCCATAGTCCATTTTCCCTCTTGCCTCTGTTTGCTCACGCTGACAGCACTGTTTCTCTCACAGATTAAATAGCATAAGAAATGCAAACTATAGCTCCGCAGGTCGCTCTGTTAACTGCGTCGCCACCAGGTCAATGAAATATGAAGTTTTCTCTCAACGCTCCTTTTTATTCAAGTGTGCGATGCAGCGTTGTCTTCTACATGGTCAGATGTCAGAGAGAGTGTGTCAGCAGAGTGCAGGAAAACAAAGTCCTTAAAACGGTATGTTTACTGCACGCGTAATTGCTTTTAGGGAAACACTCTTCTGCTGTTTGTCTTTGTAAAAAATTCAACACACAGGTAAAATGCATTCAGATCCAATGTTGCTGCTTTGTCAGGTTTACTCATATTTTTTCTTGAGGCAAATGTGTTTCACTTTATAAAATACTAACTCTGGGCTATAATGAGCATGGGCTGCAGTGATTACTTCTCTCTGCCTCAGTCTTTAAAAGCCTTAACAGTAGAGTCATGTGTAAAAATGACAATAACTCACTGACATGCCAGCATTTTTATACAGGTTTTTTTAATTAATGCATTGTTGTTACTTTGTTTAAATAATGTTTAAGACAGAGTAACAGACAAGTGAAGCTTGTAGCTCGTTATTGGAAATTTTTCCCATGACGAATGTATTGGTGTTTCTTTTATTTTTACTAATTTAGCCGTAAAAACAAACAACCCAGTTTAAAACGTTTATTTTCATGCCTCTTTAAAAAATTCTAACATAGTACAACTATGAATAAACTGTACAGATAAAAAAGTAATGAAGTGGTTCTCTTGCACGTGTCTAAATACCTTAGCCGATAACACGGCTCGGACCAAAACCAACAATTGGACCTTCTGGTTGTCGACCTCACTGGACCACAGCACCTCTGCATTTACATGGGTCCTGCACTCATTACACACTTGCACATTTTGAAACAGAAAAAATGTTTGGATGTACAAAAGGGAGAGTGGTGTTTAGCCCTCTTATGTTTACTGTGGCAATGCGGGTTCCGGTATCAGGCGTACGTGGTCCAGAGGTGATAGCCGATAGGAGTGGTGCGATTCCCGTGACTGTTTCAAAGTTAGCTTGTTTTGCAGATTTGCATTTGCAGCTTTAAAGATCAATTTGACTAATTTTTAATAGAGAACCGTGCAGTAGCAACACTCTGGTGTACCTGCTTCAGGAGCTAAAAGTGAGCCAGATCAGGCTTGAGCTGAAGACAGCAGGATCCATCCATCCATCCATCCATCCATTTTCATCCACTTCTCTGGAGTCTGGTCATGGGGGCAGTAGCCTAAGGCGAGAGGCCCAGACTTCCCTCTCCCCAGCCACTTAGGCCAGCTCCTCCGGGGGAATCCCAAGGCGTTCCCTGGCCAA